TCATCCACATCAAATGATGGTGCCGTGTTTGAAAACAAGTCTTTCCGGAGACGTTGCTTACATTTTGGTACTTGCTGCTATTTACCCTTATTTTCGTCCACTTTCTTAAACGTGTACCATTTTGCTTCAAAACACGATGGGGCGACAAATATATGTTATCCACATCAAATAATGGTGTCGTGTTCGAAAACAAGTGTTTCCGGAGACGTTGCTTACATTTTCGTACTTGCCCCTATTTACTCTTATTTTCGTCGATTTTCTTAAACGTGTACTGTAATATCCCGAGATATTATCAGTATAAATTACGTTTAATTCCGATATAGTAACGTTAGCGTTTATTATTTTCGGAATTAAATTAAGTTCAGTCGGATTACCGAAATCTATTTTCGGCGTACCGTTTACGTTCGAAATAATTTTGGTAATCAAGTAGTATGTTTAATTAAAAACTAAACATAAAGTATGTGATTAAGCATCGATTAATCAAAGTAAATAGCAAAGCCGTGTTAAAAGGGAAATTGTCCCAAAAACTCCAATAAGCCGTGAGATTTCTTCCATATTAGGGAAGTCAAAAATTCCTCTCTTTTGACACTAATACGTGGCAGAATAATATGCTGGGAGAAGAGATTAGTCATCAAGCCTAATTTGAGAAATTAGCAAGTGTCACAACCTTGGAGGGCCACGCCTCTCGCAAGTCACACATCCCTCCATCCGGCTTGGATTATAAATTGAGGGTTTTGTGCGAAAATTTCCTCATTTTTTTCCCTTAAAACATAATCAGCATACTACAACCCTTTTCAGCAGCAAGTAAGTTAATCAAGTTTCCATAATTTTCAACTAAGTACGCACGGCCAATTAAGGAAGGTATCGCATGGAGTCCTTGCGAGAAGAAATCACGCCTAATTTCCGAAGTTCCGTCGAGCAATTCCAGAGGTAATCTTCTTATCCTCTGGTAGTGCAGTTAATAAGGTTAAATTATAGTTAAGTGGTCGGATAAATTGCAAGAATTTTGAATAAATCACCCTTAAATCCGAACATGTCTAAGTGAGATTACCGCCGAGCAATCTTCATTTTCTTCCGGCAACTCTCGAGTTATAAGCTTTTAAAAGATCAGCTTAGTTCATTGTAAGTCCAGTCTGATCGAATCGTTGAGTAAGAATATAGAATGGCCGATGAGAGGGCCCCAGCCGGCGCCCCGCGCCTATCGCGCGTAGTTCGGGTAGCCGAGGGCCGAGGCCTGTACTCCAGTATTTAGCTAAATTCTTCCGTGTGATTAAGCTTCATTTTATTTCAGTATAGTATCCATATGGAGTTGTTCAGTAGTTGTCGGATAATTTGTTAGTTCGGCCGAGAACGGCGTGTAGCCGTCGGCGGGCACGGGTGTCCGTCACGGNCAGTTTTGTGTTCAGCGTGCATGACCAGAGTCTAAGGGATGAATTCAGCAATATTGTATTCAGTTAAAATAGTTCAGTCCAAGTTATTTATAAGTTGGGAAGAACCGAGGGCCGTGGGCCGCACCCTCGCACGTAGCGAGAGCGTGCGGAGGCGCGCTATAGCCGTGGGTACGGCTTAATCAGTAAGTTCAGTAGATCCTGTTTGAATCAGTTTTAAAGATCATGTTAAGTCATATTATGTTAGTAAAAATTAGATTGGTC